GGGCAGGGGGCTGACAGAGGGGGCTGGGGGGAGGGCAGGGGGCAGCTAGAAGCAGCAAAGGGGGTAAAATTTACACATTATGGAACATGGCAAACTAAAGTGAGGGATAAAACGCTGCAGATATGTACAGAGGTTCATCCAGCCTTGGCTCTGGAACTGTTCAAGTAAGAAGAGTTTGGTTTCTCCCATCCCACCCCAGTCTCCAGCTGGTGTCAGAGACTGGGGCCTGGCCCTGTCACCACCAGGACTGCTCCAGACTGAGCACCTGTCACTGCTCCAGACTGAGTCCCCCCCACGCACAGGGGTCTGGGCAGGCTGGCAGTGGGGGCCCAGCAGCACTGGGGGTTACTTTTTGCGGGTGTGTTGTCTCCGTGCCTGCAGCCGCTGGCGAGCGCCTGTCTTGGATCCTGCCCCAATGGAAAACGTGGGAATGGTCGAACCTGGAAGCAGAAAGGTTTCTTGATTAGAGCTGGTGCAGGGGAGGAAAATCCCCAACCTGGGGGGAATGGAAGGTTTTGCACCTTCATCCAGCCTTGGCTCTGGAACTGTTCAAGTAAGAAGAGTTTGGTTTCTCCCATCCCACCCCAGTCTCCAGCTGGTGTCAGAGACTGGGGCCTGGCCCTGTCACCACCAGGACTGCTCCAGACTGAGCACCTGTCACTGCTCCAGACTGAGTCCCCCCCACGCACAGGGGTCTGGGCAGGCTGGCAGTGGGGGCCCAGCAGCACTGGGGGTTACTTTTTGCGGGTGTGTTGTCTCCGTGCCTGCAGCCGCTGGCGAGCGCCTGTCTTGGATCCTGCCCCAATGGAAAACGTGGGAATGGTCGAACCTGGAAGCAGAAAGGTTTCTTGATTAGAGCTGGTGCAGGGGAGTGTAATCCCCAACCTGGGGGGAATGGAAGGTTTTGCACCCCCCAGAGCCCAGAGGGTACCACCACCCAAGCTGACCACCCAAGCTGGCTCCCTGAGGCCAGCCAGGCCCACCCAGCATTCCCAGCCTGAGGAGACAACACAACCCATTGCTCCCCAAGGCTGAAGCATCAATTCAGTCCTTACCAAAGGAAGTGCTGACTCCTCCGAAGCCTGAGGCGGGAGTTCCGGGTGTCCCGAAGGAAAGGCTACTGCCCCCGCTGCCCACTGCTCCTGGGACAGGTGTGCTTTGCCCAAAGGTGGGTGCAGGAGCTCCTGGAAAGCAACACACCACTATGAGCTGGGGCTGGCCAAAGGGGAGAGAGAGCCTGATCCTTGGGATCCAGCCACACCAGGCAGGGGGATGGATCTCCCTCTCTTTGGAGGCTGAACCACCACAATGCCCAGGGACCAGCCTCTTCACCCAAAAAGTTCTTTTAATACAAGAAGTTGTGCTCTCATGGTGATCCCTGGGATTGGCAGGCCAGGGAGGAACAAAGGTCTCTGTTCTTCCAGATCAAGTAATTGCTCAGCAATTCAGCTCTGTGGGATGTGAGATGGCCCTATGGGGATGCAGAGCAGTAGGGAAACTCTGGAGAGCCAGAAAGAAGCTACAGCAATCACTGGCTTGCCCTGAAGCTCCAGATCACTTTCTTTAAAGCATTGGCAAGACCTTGGTTTCTGTGGGGTGCCTGGCTGGACTTAGCACCACACAGAGTTGGTGCACCCCAAGGGGCCAAGGAGCAGAATTTAAGGATTCCTCTCCACCAAGGGCTGGGGAACCCGACAGTGAGACAGCCCTCCGCAGAGCACCAGTACCACCAGGGCTGCCAAGCTTGGGGAGCTCAGCGAGGTCTGCCAGGTAAGCTGCTGCCCAACTCCAGCCCTGCCCTTCACCTTTGGACTAGAATACCTTCAGAGGCCTCTTCCAACCCCAGCCACTCTGTGGCTCACCCCTGAGAAGGGGGTACCCCATCTCACCTCCGAAGGCAGGCCTGTTGCTGGGGTTGCTGGGCACAGTGAAGGCGAAAGGCGCGCTCTGGCTCTGCACGCTCGGGGAGGAGCCGAACGGCGCTGCTGCCGGGGCCACCCCGCTCTGCCCAGCCCCGAAGTTGAAGGCCACACTGGAAGAGCTGCCCAAGGTGGGTGCGCCAACCCCAAAGGCGCTGGCAGAGGGGCCGGGCTGGGCAGTTGCCCCGAAGGTGAAAGGAGAAGGGGTGGCTCCGAAGATGGTGGTGCCAGAGCTGCTGCTCGTGGTCTGGGTGGTGGAACCGAAGCTGGCGGTGGTGGAGGTGGCTGTCCCGAAAGAGAAGACCGACGTGGTGGTCCCGAATGCCACCTGGGTGCTGCTGGTGCCAAAGGAGCCCTGGGCACTGGTGGTGCCAAAGGCTGGTGGGGCAGCACTGCCGAACGCTGGCTGAGCAGCTGACTGGGCTGGGGGGGCTCCAAAGCTGAACGGAGGGCCAAAGTTGACAGGGCCAGCAGCAGGCTTGCTGGCGGGGGGCTGGCTCTCTGCAGCAGCAGCACTGAAGGGGGCCTGACTTGCTGCACCAGGGTATGGTGGTGGCTTTGTGCTTGTGCTGAAGGAGCTGGAACGGCGCTGCTGCCGGGGCCACCCCGCTCTGCCCAGCCCCGAAGTTGAAGGCCACACTGGAAGAGCTGCCCAAGGTGGGTGCGCCGACCCCAAAGGCGCTGGCAGAGGGGCCGGGCTGGGCAGTTGCCCCGAAGGTGAAAGGAGAAGGGGTGGCTCCGAAGATGGTGGTGCCAGAGCTGCTGCTCGTGGTCTGGGTGGTGGAACCGAAGCTGGCGGTGGTGGAGGTGGCTGTCCCGAAAGAGAAGACCGACGTGGTGGTCCCGAATGCCACCTGGGTGCTGCTGGTGCCAAAGGAGCCCTGGGCACTGGTGGTGCCAAAGGCTGGTGGGGCAGCACTGCCGAACGCTGGCTGAGCAGCTGACTGGGCTGGGGGGGCTCCAAAGCTGAACGGAGGGCCAAAGTTGACAGGGCCAGCAGCAGGCTTGCTGGCGGGGGGCTGGCTCTCTGCAGCAGCAGCACTGAAGGGGGCCTGACTTGCTGCACCAGGGTATGGTGGTGGCTTTGTGCTTGTGCTGAAGGAGCTGCCAAAAGTTGAGATGGAGGAGCCAAATGTCAATGTGGCTTGACTCGTGGAGGCTGGGATAGAAGAGGTTAGTGTGGTGGTCCCAAATATGCTAAAGCCCACAGTGGTGGTAGGAGCCATCGAGTTTGAAGGTGCTTGACCAAAGGCAGGGCCTCCTGGGACACTGGTGGTGGTGGTGACTGTGCCTGGAGGTGGCTTTCCAAACTGGAACACAGGCCCTGGGGTGGAAAAGCTGGTTTCCGTGCTGGGAACTGAGCTAGTTGGGCCCCCGAAGAGGAAGGGCTGTGATGTGGTGGTGGATGTGGCAGCAGTGACCGTCAGGCTGGCAGCAGAGCTGGTAGAGGCAGATGGGTTGAGTCCAAAGCTGAAGACGGGTTTAATGGCAGCATCTGTGGAAGAACTCTGGGTGGTGGCTGTTGTGGCTGCGGTGGTGAAGATGACATTTGGGAGACCTGTGAATCCTGACAGGGTGGTTGTGGAGGCTGCTGGCAGATCTGCAGCCGAAGCCGGTTGCAATGTTGGTTTGAAAGTGAAAGGAGAGACCTTTGCTGGAGATGAAGCTGTGGTGACACTGCCAAAGATAGGCTTGAACATAGTGGTGGTGGAGGATGTCGAGGCAGGGCCTGAGCTTGCAGACACAGTGACCATGGTGGAGATGACAGCAGTGGAGGGTGCTGTGGTCTCGCTCTTTGGCAAAGCACCAAAGATGGGTTTGAAGACCGGGGCAGTGGTGGGCGCAGCAGTAGCCGTGGTCGCGGGGGGCTGGCTGACAGGAGGGGTGTTCAGCGCCCCGAAAAGGATGCTTGGCTTCGGGAATGAGGGCGGCTTACTGGGGGTCTCGCCCAGCTCTGTGAACGCAGAAGGTGCCAGGCTGCTGGGGGCCTGCACCTCCAGGGCAGGGGGGGCAGCAGGGACAGGCGTGCTCAAAACAGGCTTGGTGTCAGCAGAGGTGACAGGCAGAGAACCAGGCTCCACGGAGGCAGCAGGAGCGGGCAGCTGCGCAGCTGATGGAGGTGCCTGGGATGCTGCCACAGTTCCAGTGGAGTCTGGGAAGGGGGACAGAGCTTTTTTAGTGATAAGGGGCACCTACAGCAGCCGGCCTTCCTGCCAGGCACCCACCCAGCTGCTGCACAGGCTCCCAGTGCAGCACCCACCCACACCAGATCCAGCCCACCATGCTTTTCACAGCTCCCAAGAGGACCTCGGGCTCAGTGTCCCCAGACTACTCCCCCCAGAAACCTTTCAACAGGGAGTTTTGCCATTTGCCTCCCACAGAGGCCACATGGAGCTCCCCTGTGCCTGCCTGGCTCTGCCCAAGCCCTGGCTCTGTCAACCCTACTCCTCCCTCCTCACCTGCTGGCATGGGCACAGTCTGGCTGCTTTGCATCTTTTTCAGGCTGTCCAGGAGCGTGTTGGTGCCAGCCGGGGCAGGAGCTGTTGAGGTGGGTGCAGGCCCCGGGGAGGTCACGGTGAACACCAGCGGCCTGGACATGGGTGTAGTCTCTGCAGTGGTGCTGGGGACTGCATCTGCTGGGGAGAGCAAAAGATCAGGACCTGCTACTTGCTGCAGTGGACTGACTATGCCTTAGCAGAGCTTCCCCAGGTGGGCAGGGAAACTGCAGGAACACTACACAGCTCCAGCCCTGGGGAACCTCACCCATCACCCTTGGGACTCTGGGCATGAGGTCTCTGGAATCTGGAGGCAACAAGAGCATCCCCAGACCCGAGAACCAGGCAGGACTGGCCCAGAAGCTTCCCCAGCCTGCCCTACACAGACAGCCCACTGCCCTTCCAGCCCTGGCCCTGCGTTTCCAGCCCTTGCACCCTCCTCCACATCCTCAGCGTGCCCTTACCAGCCTTATCCTCCAAGACTTTGTTGAACCACTGCAACGCCGCCTTCTTCTCTGCATCCAGGTCCTCCGACGTGATGGAGTAGCCCAGCTGAAGAGGTGGGGGCTGCCAAGAGAGAGCAGCAGCAGCTTAGCTCCTTCTCAGGGAAGCAGGCAGAGCCTCTCTGAACGTGTGGTGAAGGTTGGCCATCGCGAGGCCCGTGAAGCAGGTGGTTCTGCAGCAGCACGCAACCGCGGAGCTCCGATCCCCGTCCATTTTGGCCCCCCGGCTTGGCACTGAGGGCACGGCCTTCCCCAGGCCATTACCTGGTCCGGCAGCAGGCAGCACAATCACGCACAGCCCACCAGACACTGGGGCTGGGGATAGCGTCACTTCCCACTCGGCCAAGGACGGGGCCTCCTTCCTGAGGGCAGGCAGGTCAGTCTCCCCCCAGCCCTGCAGAAATTGCAGTGAGCACATTCTATTGCCAGAGCAGGGCAAAAGGGGCTGCGAGACAGCGACGTACCAGCGCCAGCTGGTCCCCCCGGTGAGATGACAGCAACTGGATCTTCCGCTTGCGCTTCCCGCTGCTCCCCGACGCTGACAGTGGGCTCAGGGAATTCTGCTTCTTCCACACCGGTGTCTCCACTGCTACAGAAGGAGACAAGTCAGGACCAGCTCTGGGCAGAGGAGGCGTTCGGCTTGTACCAACAGGGTTGGCCCTTCCAACTCTTCTCCAGACGACCCATCCCAGAGGGCAGAGGCAGGGGCACGGCTGGGGGCTGAGGACAAGGCTGTGATGCCCTGGAAGGGCAGCTGGCAGCAACCTACCTCAGTGCAGGCTGTTCAGGAGAGCCCGCTGCCTTCCCACCTCCACAGATGGCCCTTGCACACCCCCACCCAAAGCATGCAGCCTGCACGAGCCACATCCAGCACCGTGCCTCAGGACCCTAACCACAATGGGCACAAAGGTTTTCCTCTCCATTTTAGTGGAGAAAGTGCTGGAATAAGCTCAACCTAGAATGTGATCAGGGTGCTGCTATTTGTACCACAGCAGAACTTACCCAAGGGCTAATCCCTGGAGTTGTGCTGGCTCGGGGGCTAGTGCCCCCCTTGCAGGCCAGCCCCCATGTGCCTGCCCAGCACCCCTGGCTTATCTCCTGGAAATCCCTTCAAGGGACCTGCTGCAGGCAGCAGAAGTGCCACTGCCTTGGAAGCAGCATCTAGTTCCCAGGTGCCATCCCAAGCCAATCCCACCTGCAGACCACAGCTACCTCCTGTCCAGCCACCTGCTGGCACTGGTGGCCCATCCACCCTGGGTGCAGAGCTGGGGCCCACCAACCCTCACCTTTCTCTGTCTGCAGCTCCTTGTTCAACTTCACTGGAGTGGAAGCGTTGGAGCGATGCAACTCCTCTTCCCTGTGCAAGTGGGATAACCAGTTAGGGATGCCTCCAGGCTTGGCCCCCTCCCCCTTAACTCCCCTCCACATTCCGTGCAGCACAAAGTCAGGCCCATCCTAAATTGAATCTGCTCTGGGAGCAGGCCTCAAGACTGAACATGCTACGGACTCCCTCCCTCCAGGATCCCTGGTATGTTTCTTTGTCTCCACCCAACACCAGACTTCAGGACAACAACTTTGCCCTCACCACACTGGCCTGAAGCAGCTCCAGGCAGAGGAGCTGCCCCCCACCCCCTCCCCCCAGGCCTCAGAAAGGTCAAGCTGCTGAGCCCACACGCCCTTCACAGCCTTGGGGCAGCAGTGGGAGGCCACAGACAAGAGCTGCTGCCCCTCACAGGTCCCTGGCTTGGACCCACCCATCGCCAGGGTGGCTAGTTGTGTCATCTTTAGCTCTGACATGAGCTCAGGTCCTCCTCTGAGGCAGGTGCTGAAATTAGTGTAGCTTCCTTGAATTGATAAAACCAGGGCCTGTCGCTTCCCCAAGTTTTGGCCACCAGCCACCCAGGCCCCACCAGCACCCCAAAACCCAAACCCTTAGATCTCTAATCCAGCCTGGGACCAGTGCAGGGACACACAGCCCAGCACTGCCACTGGGACCACAGGTTAAGGAGGCAGCAGGGACACCAATGGACACAACAAGGGGGTTTACACAGTGGTGTGTGACCCAGCAGACACAGCCCAGAAAGGGGCCTGGACTGCCCTGGCTCTTGTGGAGAGCAGGACTCAGGGATGGCTCAGAAGGGCACTGCTCTCTTCCCAACTGGCAGTGAGGAACAGCGCTCGCCAGGCAAGCAGTGACTTACCTGGCTCTCTTAAGAGGCCACTCTGGTGTCTGGGAGCGGGAGGATGCTGGGCTGGAGAGTGGGGACACATTCACACCACTTCTCTTCCACAACTGGAAGGCAGAGACCAGCAGTAACTCAGTGTGGGGGCTGCCAGGAAGCACAGCCTCCCACCCCCTGCTTACCTGCAGATTAAATCCCCTCTCCCATGGCTGTGGCTAACGAGCCCACAGCCTCTCTTGCTTCTGCACTGCTTAACCCTACAACTACACACTGGGGGAAACCTTTCCCCACATAGAGAGCAGAGCTCCATCAGCTCTGTCCCAGTGGGCTCTGTCCCACTGTCACATCTGCAGGCCTGACCCAGGATCTAAGCAGTGTTTTTAAAAAGCTCAGCAGCTGCTGAAGGGACCTGAGTCAAAGTGGGATTGCATGGCTCAAATACTTGCTGACTCTGGCTCAAAAGGTGGCAGCACAAAATCTTTTTTTTTTTTTTCTTTTCATCTGGATCTATCTACCCTAACAGACTAGCTATATAAGGAAGGGGTAAAAAAAAGCCTCCTTCTTGCTTCAGTGTGAAACAAGCATCGTGACATGGCAGCTGAGCCTGGGGACTGGGACAGAGCTGCCTGCTGCTGCTGGCTGGGCAGCCTCTGAACCCAGAATAGGAAACCAGGCAGCTGCCTGGCTGAGCAGCACTGGAGACCCTCCCCAACCTCACTCTTCTGTGCCCAGGTCTGAGGTACATGGGGCAATCCCAGGGGAGAGTCTATCCCCACTGTGCTGGGCTCTGGTGCTGCCTTTGGCAACACGATTCCCACCTGTGAGAGGCCCCGGCTGGAGCTGTAGGAGCTGGCGATGGCGTTGCGGGTGGAGCTGGGGATCCCACCAGCACACGTGTTGTTGAGGGAGCTCATGGAAGAGGTGCGGGACCTCTTGTTCAAGCCATCATCCAGGCAGTGCGAGACAAGGCCCCTCTTCAGAGAGCCAGGCCTAGAGGAGGTTAAGGAAGACTTTATGAGCTCCCTGACACTTCCCCTTTTAAACGTCCTTTAAATTTAAAAGGTCCTTTCAATGCAGGGTGGGTGGAGGAAGCCAACCCCACTCCTCACAGTGCAGAGCTCAGACAAAGGCTGGAGCAGCAGCACAGCAGCCTGCCCTCAGGGGCACAGACCGCAGGCACCGCTATGGCCTCTCCTGCTCTCATCCAGAGCTGGGCTCTGTCAGCAAAAGACAAGTGCTCTTTCCAGAGCCCATAGGCTTTCAGACCCCACTCCCAGCAGCTGCTTTTGGCCTGGTGAGCACTTACTTGGGTATGAGAGAGGCGGGGGCACCGTTGGCTACCAGCGGCTCGAAGGCTGACTGCCCGCTCCCGCTGCTGTCGTGGCGCCTGCGGGAGGGAGAAGCCTGGGGCAGTGCAGAGCCAGCAGGGACAGGGGCTGTCCTCTCCCAGCCTCAGGAGAAGACCCCTTCCCGTGGGCTCAGCATGAGAAAACACAAACCTTGCTTTTTCCCAATCCCCATGGACTAAGGTTTTCCCCATCCACCCCCTGCTGTGGATTTTCTCACCCCTGTTCCCATCCCCACTGACTCTCACCCTAAGCTGCCTCCTCCCAACCACCAGTAGCTCCACCAGCTGCCTGACAGGTAAAGAGATTTTGATGTAACAAAATCTTTGCTCAAATCCATTGCTCTAAGCCAAAATGTTTCAGACTCAGCAGCTTCTTTCAGCAACAGACCTGAGCTGCAAATTCAGATCTCCAACCTCTTCTAGTCACCCTGGACTGTTGGGACTCAGAAACCAAATCCCCTTTCCCACAATGAATCAGTGAAGGTCTGATGCCTGAAAGCAAACCCTGCTGCAAAGCAGAGCTGCAGGTGCACTTCCAGTCCTTCACTTAGCCCAAGGGCTTCCCTCAAGCTCAAGCCTGCTGACCCCACCACAGGGGTGATCCAGCACTCTCCACCTGACACAGGCTCTTTTCTGCCCTCACAGGTGACAGGATTCTCTGCCTACAAACATTCCTCATGCCTGCAAGGCTTTAACACCTTCAAAACTGGCTTTTGTGGCAGAGCTGGCTACTGTTAAAGAAAATCCAACAGAATAGAAGAAAAACCAAAGCTGATCCTGTCTTTGCACCCATGCTGTCGTCATCCTGCTCAGCTCTTGCAGGGCTCAGATCCACTAAGGCAAGGTAAAGATTCAAAGGGAAGTGCAGTGATGGAGGATGGGCAACCACTGGTTCCCTGCAAACCACTGCTCATCCTGGCGCCACCTGAGCTGCAGCCCCAGAGCAGCACATGGGGCAAAGCACAAGGGCACTGCCCAACGACCCTTCTGTGGCCTCTCAGCTGCCCAGCTCCAGCCCCTGCACAGCCCAGGGGGAAGGGGGAGGGATGGTGAGGCAGCACTGTGCCTGGGCAGACCTTGGCACCCAGGATTTGCGCTTTGTCCTTCCCAGGGCGCAGGCAAAGATGCTGCACCCTCATTTCTTTTGGTTCAGAGCTGGAAATTGCTGACCTTGACTAACAAAACAAGAAGATAGTCTCTCTTGTTTACCCTCGTGTTTTTACCTCCTTTTGCTGGCTACACTGCATGAAGGAAACACACAGTGCTTCCATCTGGGGCTGTAAGGCTGGGGGATCCCATCTCTCCTGGAAGCTGGGGCTGACTGAAGCACAGAGACAATGAACTACAGCAGATGCCAGAGTTTCCCACCATGCCTACCAGTCTGCAAAACCCTCTGATGACAGAAGCTCCTTTCCTGCCAGGCTTCCCCAAACCACATCCCAGCCTCTCCCAACCCCAGCAACACAGGGGAACATCTTTGACCCACAAGATTGCCCAGACAAAAACCTAAACCACATCCTTCTGATCTCAAGGACAAAATGAAGTCTCAGAGAACCTTCCAATACAGCCCAGAGGGCTGGGTGATGGGCTGCGTTTCCTGTGGCTCACTTCCCATAGCACCTTTCCAGCCCAGACTCCTGGTCCCACTGGGCCAGGCATGCTCTGGGACATACCCCATTTGTCACCACTGAAGCACTAGCCCTGTTTGCAACCTTCCCAACACTCTAGCAGCAACCTGGACTGCTGGCTGACCTCCTCTTGCTCTCCTGATCGTTCCCAAAAGCCTGGTCATCCTCCTCCTCCTCCTCCACAGCCCTCTTCCTGCTCTCCTTGATGGCATTCAGCACTGTCTCCCTTGCACACGGATCTGGGCTGTTGCTCGGGAAGGCCAAAGGCGAGGTGAGCTGCTCCAGGCTGTGAGGTGAAGCAAAGCAAGGTGGCAGGTGAGCTGTGGTCCCCACAGGGAGATCCCCCCAGCCAGGGCCCCCACGGAAGCAGAGACAGGGCTCTCCCGTGCAGCCCCTCCAGGAGATCAGGATCACACCACCATCCCCGCAGCGCCGGGAATGAGAACGGAGCAGCTGCTGCCAAGAGCCATGTCCTCTCCCCGGGACTGGAACCGGTTTCCCCATCCCCAGTCAGTCCCATCAAGGTGAAGCTCCCTCGGTGCTGCCCACGGGAGCGGCGGGCCCGCTCCCGCTCCCGGTTCCCGCTCCCGGTTCCCCATCCCCGTACTCACGCGGGGGAGCGGGCGAGGCCAGCGGCCGGCGGGGCGATCTTGACGGTGACGGGGCTGCGGAGCGGGGCGGCGCGGCGGGCCCAGGGGGAGTTGCGGGGC